AGATTCATTGATAACTAACATCATTGACCCTGCTACAGGGGACATTGCAGTCAACATGAATTCAATGGATAGCCTGTCTGATGAGTTCTCCCCTGAGCCACCTCTGAATGGGAAACTCATTGGGTTTCTGAACATAGGCTTCTCCACAGAGCAACAACCCACAGGGGCAGACATGCCCAGTGACCAGCCCCACGTTGTACCTACAACCTCTAGATCCAGGCCACTCAGGGCTGAAAGCTGATGAAGTGAATTTCCCATGCACTCAGAGCACTGTGCTGCCATTACCTGCCCACCCTCAGGTGAGACCTAAATCTTTGTGTCAGGGACTATAAAGAAAAGAGAGACAGTCGAGTCTGACAGGGAGCCCAGTTGATTGGTCCACACACATGCATTCCTCCACTGTGTATATGCTTTGAGAATTACAAGCTGTCATTCTCCTGCCAGTGGGCAGGGACTTATGATGTCGATCATGTTAGATGGCAGAATTCTACTTTCTCACTCATGTAAGTGCATGGAGATTGGAGCTACAATATTATAAGATAGCATGGAGGGGGAATAGGTAGAAAGGCAGGGGATAAAATTTGGCTAAAGGGAGCACAGTTTTAGACAGGAGGAATCAGGAGCAGAGCTCTGACACAAGGCAGTTCAGTACTGAATAAGACCTGTTAATTCAAAGTCACTAATAGAGGCATTTTCATGTTCCCTTTTTTTTTTTCTTTTTTGAAGTGGGGGAAATAGAAATGACCAATTTAATTCTCCTTTAGCTTACTCCTGCCCCAGCACTGCTTACCAGACCCAGGGCTAGACATAAGGCACATCTACCCATTGAGCATCTACCTCCCCAGCTTCGACTGTGCTTTTAGGACCAGTACCCACAGCGATGACTTGTGTGCCTATCTCATGCTGATCATCATCTTGGTCACTTTATCCTCTCCAACTAACTTTGTGACTTTCTCTTGGAAAGAACTGCAAGAACTTTAAGTCCTCTGGAGGAGGGAGATGGGTGAATGGGAATAATATAGACTAATTGGGGGATTAGATGGAGAGGGTACAGGGGCAATGAGAGGAGG